AGCAAAACCCCTAACATGTCCTTCTCAAGCAGAAAGAAAATTGACATGATATAAAAATTATAACTAATTAAATAACCTATTCTAGTATATAATGTAAGGGGCGTTCCTTTACTATTTTTCTCCTATATCTAACTTGTGTCTTTTATCATTCCTTTATCCAGGATCAGAGAGCCGTTGCTGGTTTCTTCTTCTAATCAAACTGGAGCCTAAATGTGTCGTACAATTCAAATACATATACTGCAGAAGTTAATGTTTCCAAACCACATGAAATCATGAATGGGATATGTGGTTACTTTTTTCAAAGAGCATGGTTTTGGTTCATGTTCTTTTGCTTTTTTATTTTTAACAAACTCAGATAGAATTATTACAAAGAATAGCAATTGAGCTGTTGCGTAATAAGAAAACAGTAGCGTGCTCCTACATGTTAATCAATATTCTGTTTCAGTAATCTTGTATGATGCAAGGATGCAAGGAGGAACCAGAACGTGAACAAAAATTGGAGCAAAGAACAGCTAGAGCCAAATAGTTCAATTTAGTACCATATTGAAAACACATTTTCCTAACTCTTAAAAAAAAGAAAACACATCGAAACACTTTCTTAATAAGCAAACATTCCCAATACTCATACTTCTAACTCCTAAAAAAAGACAACACATTGAAACACTTTCTTAATAAGCACTAATAATAAAGGCCGTAAATCAGTGGCTGGGAGGGAAAATGGGAGCCTGTGAGAGGGGGTGGGAGGGAAAATGGGAGCCTGGGAGAGGGGGTGGGAGCATTAACCTTGGATAGATTTAATCTCGACATTGGTGATAAGTAGGCCCAGAGCAATAATTGCTCCCCACGCCACAGCAGTAAAAACAGTCATTAGGGCAATGGGGATTTTGAAAATCTCCAGGATAACCAAAAGTACAACCGATAGGATGGAGAAGACCCCGCTGCAAACCACGACCCAAAGATTAGGGGTTCGGCTACCCGTCCAGTTTGCCAACATAACGGCAGATGAAAAAACAAAAAGAGCATAGAGCGACACCCTCGTGGTTTTAAGCTTCTGCCAAACAAAAGAGGAAAATACGATAATAAAAAATCTAAACTTAAAAAGGAGAAACAAATTTAATTTAAAAAGAAAAACAACTGACCTCATCGTTAGCCCCGGCGTCTCCGCCAGCGGAGTTGACAGGAGTGGTGGGAGGGTTGCCACCTTCAGCGGACTTCCAACCCTTCACATAACACACAATAACATAAACATACATATATTTACATATATAAACTTAAAAAAGAGGAGAAGAAAACGGGTTATATTGTCGCCCCGCACTGACTGGCCGAGGTCATTGTTGACCTCCGCACGTACTGATTCGCCGAGACCGAGGTGGGGCGGGTTTGGTGAGGGGCCGCGATGGGACTGCTCGCCTGCTGGATGGGACGGGTTGCTAGCTGATGAGGCCATGGAATGAGGTGCTCGATCGAGGCTGTCTCTTCTAGCTAGCTAGCTCTTGGAACTGTGCAGCTGGAGATGCTAGCTGTGCTGCTGATTTATAATCAAAGATTAAGGCACAGTGTTTATCATCAAGAGATGGATATGGTAAAAAAAAAAAGTTCATGATGAAAAGTAAAGATTCCCACACCGGATCTTCTTACAAATTAAATCAAAGGCTGCTACCCGAGTCCAGAGACACAGTCTGTCGCCGAGTGAGAATTATGCTCAAAACTAACGTTATCAAGTATAATAAAAATAAGGGATATATATTTCAATCGACAGACTTTCTCTGTGCTACATTTTTTTAACAGTTGGTTCATTTTACTAATGAGACAATTGCTTATAACCACTCTTCTCACTTGTTATCGTCCTACAACCATATTTTAAATATTTTTCAAGATACGGAGGATAATATCGAATCTTGATAACATCACAACAAGTGGTCCGCAAAAACCAATAGTATCTCTTCAGGTGAAAAAAAACATCTCACGACAAAAAAAATAAAGGATGACAGAAAAGAAAAAGGAAAGAAATCATGAACTCAAAAATTGGCCCCTTTTACTTCCCCAGTATCAGCAGCCGTCAGAGAGATCCCATCCTCGGAAAACTGGTCTTCTTCTTTCCCATTCCATTCTCCCAAAACACGAAACAGCGTTACCCCACCCAAAATCTCTCACGTGGCAGCACTGGACGGGATTCGAGGCTTTAAAGCGGCGGGACCCACATCTCGATTATTTCCCGCCTTGTACAAGCAATCGATTCCTCCACGTGTCCACCCCATCCACCGTTCCCACATCTCGATTATTTCCCGCCTTGTACAAGCAATCGATTCCTCCACGTGTCCACCCCATCCACCGTTCGTTTCTCCTCATCAAAATCCTCATTGTACAAGCAATCGATTCCTCCACGTGTCCACCCCATCCACCGTTCGTTTCTCCTCATCAAAATCCTCACAGGGGGTGTTCAATCTAATTCCTATAATTTTATGATATGATTTTCATAACTATTCAAATTTATACTCCAACGGCTATAAACGGTCATAAACTAACCTGAGACAATGTAAATAAAAAAATATAAAAATAAATGATAATATAGAGGCTCAAAAAATAGCCATTTTTTTCAACACCTATATAATGAAATTGCATTGTAGATTGCATTCAAAAAATGGACTACCTCATCTAAAAACTGCAAAAATAATATAGACTGCATTTCCATTAATGAATGCCTCTTGTAAACAGTAAAATGCAATTGTAGTTGCCATTATCAATATGTGACCAATAATCATAGTTAAATTCGAAAAACTCAAGAAACCCACTTTTCATCCAAGAATTTCAAATCCAAGATCACCAGCTCAAACAATGACTTGAAAAAACACCCCCAAATGAATTTTGTAACATTTTAATAGCTTGTAACAAACCCGCAAGCAGCTCAGATCAGCAGCAAACCCATAAAGCTCAAAAACAAGCTAAAACTCAAATAACCAAGGCGCAGACAAGCAACCAAGCTCAAACTTGCAAACCCACAAGCATAGTAATAGGTTGCCACAAACCCACAAGCTCACAAGCCATAAAAAACAAGCTCAAAACAAATTCAAACTCAAATAACCAAGGCTCGAAAAGCAACCAAGCTCAAACTCACAAAACTATAAGCTCAAATGCACGCGACCTCATTCTAACATAAACCCTACAACTCTCATTATAGCCATTGAACACACAACTTACGTGCCTAGCTCTAGAATCTATCTTCTCTTTTTTTTTCCACCTTAGGGTGATAAGTGATTGATTTCCTTCTACTACGTATCCTCATTAAACAAGCAAACACACAAATCACCGCAGAGACAGTAGCATTAGAAATCATCCTTATTAACATCTCTTCATCGATGTCGTCCATCTACATTGTTTAAAAAATAAATTTCCTGTAAAAAAATTGATACATTGTCTTGTATTCACTAAGACAAATATTAGAATGATAATACAAAGATAAAAATCTAATTGTTACTTAACGAAACATTTTATAGAATTGAGTTTGGTCCACAAAGATCAACTAAGTACTTAACTCAAAAATTCAAGGAGTTAAGTAATCAACAATGCTCAAGTGCTCAGATGCAGATAAACTTTTTATAGAACTGAAAGGATGAGCTAATGAAACTAGAAGCAAATTAAAATCCTAAAATAGTATACGAAATTCAAACTAATCTTACAAGTGCGCAGACAATGAACATTAACTCAATATCAATTTCACAGACTAATCAATGGAACGAGAATTCAAACTAATCTTACAAGTCTGCAGATAAGAATATCCCAGTTATTTTCAAGCAATGGAACGAGAACAATCTAGTCCCCAAATCCAAATCAATTTCATAGACTAATAATTGTGCAGAACCAATTTCACCAAACCCAAATCATAGTCCCCAAATCCAAATCAATTTCATAGACTAATAATTGTGCAGAACCAATTTCACCAAACCCAAATCAATTTCACATATAACCCCCAAATCTCATAGACTAATAATTGTGCAGAACCAATTTCACCAAACCCAAATCAATTTCACATATAACCCCCAAATCAATTACACATAAACCCCAAATCATTTTCACCAAAACCCAAATTTACAAAGAAACCCTAATTTACAAAGAAAGGGAACGAGATTTACCTACCAAGGAGGAGGCGTAGTTCGGTCGGAGAGAAGTTTGGTTGAAATAACAGAAACCCCATATCAATTTAACCCAAAACGTTAGGGAGAGTTGAAAAGAGGCAGGTCGGTGGAGTTAGGAGTTGGGGACGCTGAGGAGGAGGCGAAGCCCGGTGAGGTTGAGACGGAGAGAGAGGAGGGAGGGGGTGGCGTCGTAGACACAGAGAGGAGGGAACGAGATCTAGGGTTTCCACGCGAAAAATGAAATGGCAGATAAAAGAGGAGGGAGACGAAAGTGGTGACCCTAGGAAACTAATTTCAGGATATTAGTGTAAAGCTTGATGAGCTGAACACGGGTTAAGAGAGATCTAGCCTAAATCCTCTCTCAAAGAGGGGATTTCACAAATGCAATAATATATTAGTTATTATTATTTGGGTATTCAATATCCCAAATTTTATTTTTGAATCAATCAAATGTTATGGAATCCATAAACTCAAAAAAAAAAAAAAAAAATGATCAACCTCCTTTCGATCTCAACGTCGCCTTTGTTCTCGCTGGTTTCGCCTTCGAGGCCTACTCTAGCCCTTCAGTATAATCTTATTTTTGTTAAAATTACTTGTCTCTTCGAGAGACTGAAGAGAAACACGATGAGAACTATTTGCAAACAAAAGGAAATAGCCGGGATTGGGAACTCCGACCATTTCGAAATGCCTATTTCGAAATGATCGTCGTTCCTAAACCCCGACAAATTTAAATATGTGCTAAATTAATCGGGGTTTCAAACCCCGACTAATTTAGCTATCAAATTGTTAAAAAAATCGACCTATTTTTTGGTTACGATGCTAGCGTGACAAGAAAGTAAGTCAAATTTTTAATAAAGTTTGAATATGGTCAATTTTTGAGAACAAAATTAGGAATGAGTTTATTTAGAAAATTTCTAAATTTTTTTGAAACAAACAACCCGCAGGGTCGCTTGAATCCTCAGAATCATCAGCAACTGATCCCAAAATCTAAAATATCCTCTCCCTCTCTATCTTCTCGAAGCGAAATGGTGCGACCGGCGATCGCCGGTGAGAATGAGGACGGAGATGAGCTGCTGCTTGTGGAGACCGTTGGTAGCCGGGATCCCTCGTGGCGGCTGAACTTCGACGGGTTTCGCCCGGCAGAGGAGCGCAAGGAGAAGCCGCCACGTGGGCTTCAGGATTGCCTCGGAGTGTTTTAGGTACCAAGGTTTTCCTTTTCTTTTATTTGAACTTGGCACTGTCTATTAAAATGGTTTCCCCCCCTTTCAATTTTTTATTCTTAGCGATCGGTGCTCTGGGTTTCAATTGCGAAGAAACCAGATCCTGGGGATTTAGGGTTGTGGTAGTTATCGAAGGAAGTTGGGTTAAAAGTTGAAGCTTTGATTTAGTTTGGAACTTGGAAGTTAGGTATCGAAGGAAGTTGGGTGTAAAAATTAAATTGAATATGGATTTGACTAGGCTGATGACTCGATAGGTTTAAATTATTCGTTTATTCTATTTCTTCCTCTTTGATAAAAATTAGCCAAAAGTTTTTAAATTAAGTTTAGTGAGTGCGATTACTATAGAAGGAATAATAAGTACAAAGAAATATGTTAATTGCAAAGCAGATGTGCTTTTCACCGTGTCTAAAAAAATTAAATAATTGGTATAATTTTAGTACGATCTTAACTGTATTTATTTTACCCATGTATATGAATTAATTAGTTTTTTATATTATATAATTTTTGATAAATTATATTAATATTCATACAATATTATCCAAACCATTTAAAAGATTGCTGAACTTCAAATTTATAAGCCCAGATTCGTTTCTATAAGTAACTTTTAGTAAAATCCAAAAATTAAAATCTATCTATATAAGAATATAATTAGTCTGATAGGTTAAATGACAAACTTTAAATGAAATAATGATATGTAACAAAAATATGCCTTATCATAAGATACTTAAGATTATTATAAATAAATTGCAACTAATGCATTAGGCGTCTAAAAAAGATGACACAACCTCTTTGCACCAAATACCACCATAATATAAATTACTACTTCAGGGAAAATATGTTCCTATGTCTAAAACCATCCCAAAAAATTAAATACTAAAAACTAGATAACTTAAGTCTCTCTTTTGTGCGTATAATTGTACATCCAAACAATGCAAACTCATTTCACCTCAAAATGCAAATTACTTTTACCAGAAACATCTTTCTATGAAAAAAAGAAGAAGAAGTTGTAGCACAGGAACCTCCTTGGAGGCCTAACTCCACAATAAACTAAGACATCAAAGCTTACGTTACGTAGGAGATGTAAAAAAAAAACACCTCATACCCATCATTATAGAGAACCTGGTCCAGAACTAACGACCAAAATAGTTTGAACATAACTAAGAACTTCAACCTTGCAAATTACCTCCTCAATTACCCTAAAAGCCTGCTAAAACACAACTCTTTACCATTTCCAATTCTTCCGAAGAGAACCCAGGCAATTAAAGCCAGAGATTCTTATCATAAAGCATGTGGTCTATGGAGCAATATCTACATGCTTGATACTGAAACAAAAAATTTAATTTCTCTTTAAGAAGCTCAACAACATCAGTTTGTCAGTTCTTCACTTGATCATTGAGGGAAAACAGCCAAAAAACTTAAATATCAGTTCTTCCTGTGCACTATTTTTATTAGTTAGGGGTGTTTCCAAAGCTCTCCAACGAAGTTCAATTAATATCCAAAGCTTTAATATTTTAATAAAGAACTGTGCCTTTTATGGAGTTGATCAGTTATATCCAAATTCAATTAAACCACATAAAACGACAAATTTCTTTGTGAAAATATGGTACATATGTAACAGCTTTTAACACTTGTTCTAATCTTCCTCAAGCGTCCATTTTTCATTCACTTTTGCAGAGCTATAGTTTTAGAATTGGTTATTGGCTCATTAGTAATGACTCTACTAATGAGTTTGTTTTAGCATGCATTTAACAATCAAGAAGCAGCATATTTAAAAAAACGATCAAGAAGCTGTCGATACAAAATTTAGATAGCATTGCTTCTTAGTCATACTAAATAAAGAGTCTATTCAGTTTAATCTATAAGGAAAAACGAAGACCATAATTTCAGTAATAGACATCTATAGGTTTAGACTTTTGTGCTTCTCCACGATATAAAAACTAAACTTTACCGCTAACTCTATGTATTTCTTTCAAGTCAAGTAATACATAATATATTTGATTAGCTCTGGAAAAAAAAAACATGCATTTTTCTTACTCTTATGAGCGGAATATAAAATTTTCAACCAGTGAAAAGATACATAGTAATCCTTCACTTGCAAATGCCAATTAAATTTGAAATAATTCAAAACAATAATTTGCTTGAAGAAAATTGAAGGAGACGGTGATTATTTGCCTTGCAGACAATTTCATACCCTAATCAAACATCAAATAACTATTCAGCATGCACTGCCTCAATCAAAACCCGAGTTAGATTGTTGGTTGAAGTAGATTAATATTCTTCAAGAGTCAGCAACACGGTTAATGAATGAACCGTGCCTTTGTTTAGGTGCATACAAATTAAATTTCAACAAGTAATACCAATTGTTTAGGTGCATAAAAGATGAAGTCTTGAATGAAACTCGCAATGTCGGTTGCTAGAGTATAATATTGTAGACCTCAAGTCTCATGAAAATTTCGTAGTTCAATTCCCATCGGCCAAGCATTTGATATGAATTCAAGGGGAAAAAGATGAAATTAAGCAATCAGGTTTCTAGGTTAATTGCATTCGTCTTGTGCAAATATATTTCAACTTTATTTTTCCCCCACAAATTAGAACAACAAAAAACACATGGAACATGAAATAGAAATAAAATTTGCTCATATAGAAAAGTTCAAACAAAATAGCTGAAAATAGTGTACAGCTTTGTACTTGAAAGTAGTCTATCGTTACAGGTAAATAAAAAGATGACTTCCATATAAACTACCAATCGTCGCATCGTCATCACATGCTTGTTCTCAAACTAAAATACGTGCTCCCGATTAGGGGTGGGCGTGGGCCGGGCCGTTTCAGGCCCGTGACCCGACCCACTGGGTTCAAGATCGGGCCGGGTCCGACTTGGGCCCGTCTGGATCAAAGTGGGCCATGCCTATTTCTCTAATATCGGGTCTGGAA